GCTCTGCACCACTGCGTGGATAGTATCAATGGGTTTCGAATCAGAGCTGGTGGGATTCTGCCTGGCTCAGAACGAGTCCATAATAAGATTCTCATTATCGGATCTTGTCCTCAGTGAGGGCAAGTGGGTCATCATTGCCAGACAACCAGCAACCCCTCCGCCGTGAGAAGGCTGGGGGGAGCTCAGAGCACAGAGGCTGAGGGGTGCAGGCCAGAGGCCTTGGCACCCACCTGGCACAAGCAGTTGCAATGTGCTTTCCCTACCTGTGGGGCTCCTGGATGACTCCCCTATCAACCCCCACTGACAGCAGCTAGATTTTTGGGCCTCTGTTCCCTTTCTCCTGTCTAACTATCCCTAGCCTTGATTCTGCATGGGTTGGTGTTGAGGGCCTCCTCCATGGGCAGCACCATTTTCCACTGTCCTGTCCACACTGTGGGTCAGCAGCAGAGACCAGGCCTTTGCAGGAAAGTATGATGGGATCAGTGAACACAAAAAAAAACAAGAAAAGGAGACACAGGAAGTAGACTACCCTGAACTGATGAGATGATCTCAGAGACCAGGGAAGGAATTACCTCACAAAAATATGTTCTCACTCACAGCCAAGTGTGATGGCATGTCAGTGATTCCAGCAATTCGAATTATAGTTTGTTTTTCTTTTTTGGTTTTTTTCGAGACAGGGTTTCTCTGTGGCTTTGGAGCCTGTCCTGGAGTCAGTCCTGTAGACCAGGCTGGTCTTGAACTCACAGAAATCCGCCTGCCTCTGCCTCCCGAGTGCTGGGATTAAAGGCGTGCGCCACCACTGCCCGGCCTAGGACCATAGTTTTAAGGCTAGCCTGGGCTAAGCAATGAAGCTCTGTCAATCAACCAACCCCCCCAAACAAATAAACAAACAAGGGCCAAGATGTGGCTTAGTGGCTGAATGCTAGTTTAGGCTGCACCAGGCCTGGGTTCAGCCCTCAAAACAATATTCAAAAAACAGGAAATATGCTTCTCACAGACCAACAGGATGGCTATGTGAGTAAAGAACCACTTGCCATGAAACCTGACCACATCACTGTGACCTAGACATGCACCACAGCACAATCACACACTAAACAGGTGTCAAAAACACTGCAGGCAGGCAAGTGCACAGGGTCCCATGCTGACAAATACCCAAACCCCTAAAAGGGGGGAAAAAGTTAAAAACCAGAACCAGGACTCCCATACTGTGAATTGAGGAAAGAAGTGACAAACACAGAGAGACCATAGTGATCCCACACAGTGAGAGGGAGGAAGCACAGAACAAGTCTGGTATAGCAACACAAAGAAGCCCACTGTCTACTATCTGCTATATCTGAACACGGTCCACCTGGTCCTGGTCTCCCACTCTGGGTTGGCACCCAATGTGCTTACCTTGTGGTGCATGACAATCTTCCGCTGACCTGGCTCGGCCACATCGATCATCTTCTGGACCACATAGTTGGCATACTGATCCTTCATCATGGTGTATAAGGCACTGTGGGGACCGTCATTCATGGTGCACACCTCATCGATGAGTACAGCACGCTCTGTACGTGAGGCATGAGTAACACACTTCTCCACAACATTGCTGTCATGAGGAAAATTAGGAAGAACAATCAGATAAGATCCCCACTTAGGCTGTGTGTTTTAGGATGGACAATGAGGGAAGAGATGGTACGTATGGGAATTCATTTGCCCAAGGTCTGGCTCTGTAATGTTCTTTTTTGGTCTTAACACTGGGGTGTCCAACAGTGAATCACCTGAGCCCCAGTGTTCTACGAGAGGGGCCCTGACCTGCTGGCAGATGATAGTAATAAGCTTGCCAAGTTCATAGCGAGATTCACAGCAGAGATTTCTAATAGCTCAACTCGTTTACAATCACTACTTCAACTCAAACCAAGACCTATGATGCTGTCCTTGCATCTGTAAGCTCAGGCTCAACAACAAAACTCCTTTGGTCATACCAGACACTGGGCCATGGTGGGAGATCTGAGCTCAGTGAAGGAACTTCAAGCAGGAGCACAGCACTTCGGCAGTTCAGAAGCACAGAAGGCCCTGCCTTCTGTCATCACTTGTGAACACTTAGCACAGTTTTCTAACATGAAATGTCTGGCTGCCAGACTGATGACTAGTCACCACACAGTGAGTGATTCCTCACCGCAGTTCCCGGGGCACAAATTAACAACAGAGTGTGCTAGCCAGACAGTGGTGGTGAACATCTTTAATTGCAGCACTCAGGAGGCAGAGGCAGGTGAACTTCTGAGAGTTCTAAGATAACTGAGGATACACAAACCCTATCCCAAAAATAAACAAAAAGGATGTGCTGTGTGCACTGCTGTTACTGAGCCCAAGACCCAGCAGCAGTCAGTACATGGGAGTTGGTGAAAGTTGAGGCTTTGCCAAGGGCTCAAAGAGGAGAGAGCTCTAGGTCCCAAACCCTCAAGGAGAAAAGGCTAACGAGAGGCCAAACCCACCAAAACAGACCATACTCAGTAAGCGCAACCGCAAAAGAGATCCTCATGCAGGCACGCTGCCCGTTGGCTTCTCTAGACTAAGTTATACTAAGTGCTTTGATTTAGGCTGCTCATAATTAAGTACTCACAGCTCATAAATTAATAGACAAGCTAGATGGCATGGTGGATAAATGTGCTTACACTGCCAAGCCTGAAGACCTGAGTTCATTCTCTGGAACCCACAGGATAGGAAAGAACCTTATCTACTCTGGCAAGTTGTCATCCAAGCTCCACATGGATACTATGAAATGTACATGCTCAATCAAGTACATACACACACAGAATTGTAAGAAATGATTTTTTTACAACAGATCTCACTAATTGAAAGCAATTATTAATGAACATCAATATAAACCCCTGACCAAAAAAAAAAAAAAAAAAAAAAAAGCTATATGTCGAGAAAAAAAAAAATCACACGAAAGTGCTAGGGAAGAAAATCCTAGAAAACTACTCAGCGCTATGTTCCCTGAGCGGTGAGAAGGAGTGAACCCTGCTCAGAAGAGCGCCCAGCTAAGGCACAGAGCTGGAATTTTCCAAGCCTGATGCTCTGAAGCTGAGAAGTTGAGGCCTGCGCAGATCTGGCAACTTGCCCCTCTCGGGCCAAAGATGAAGGCGAGTGGAGGCTATCTCACAATGCCCACCACCGAGGTAGGAAACACACAGGAGATTTCAGTGGCTACTCCAAAGGACTGGAAAGAACTTTTAAGGAAATGTCTTTGAAGCCACACTTGGTATACTTCTTGACTTTTAAAGCAGGTAATACGCATGGCTTCGTATGTAACTGTACTCGAGGCTATGACCAACAAACTGAACCTGTAAGATGGAAAAAGAGAGCCAGCTCCCACAAGCTATCCTCTAACTTCCACATGTGCACAGCGGTACAGTGCACGAGCACACAGACAAATACCCACAAATAAACAAATAAGCAAGTATAAAAATTAGGGGGAAAGTATTGTGAAATAATCTTTTTGTACACTGTGAAGATGTGTCACTCAGACTGCTTTAATATAAAGTTGAAAGGCCAATAGCTAGACAGGATTCCCAGGCACAGAGGATGCTGGGAAGAAGGGCAGGTGTCAGAACATAGAACAAGCAGGACAAGCATTACAAAGTAAAGGCAACTGAACCTCATAAAAGAATATAGATCAGGGGCTGGAGAGATGGCTCAGTGGTTAAGAGCATTGCCTGCTCTTCCAAAGGTCCTGAGTTCAATTCCCGGTAACCACATGGTGGCTCACAACCATCTGTAAAGAGGTCTAGTGCCCTCTTCCAGCCTGCAGGCATACACACGGACAGAATATTGCATACATAATAAATAAATAAATAAATAAAATATTAAAAAAAGAATATAGATCAAAAGAAATGGGCTAATTTAAGTTATAAGAGCTACTCAGAAACAATCCTAAGCTACAAGACAAACCTTCATAATTAATAGTAAGTCTGCATGTAATGATTTGGGAGCTGGCTGGTGGGACAGAGAAATGCCTAACAACAAAACTTTGCAGCTGAAAATACTACCCAATCCTCACTTCCCAGAGCACAGACCTTGCAAATTTGTGCTGACTCAATACAAGTACATTGCCTCGGATCTCTGCTACAATTTTGCTTTTATCCTCAGGACGACCATGCTCCAGTACATGTTGGATTACATAATTTCCATACTGATCCTATTTGAGAAGCAACAAAACAAAGAAAATATACATAAATAACAGTTCTCTGGGTTACTAGGTCCTCCATATAATTAATATATATCACTCATGTAGCACTGTGACAGCTTATCTAAGGGTGAAGGAACCTGCAACAATTTTTAAAATGGACAGGAGTAAAATTATTCCCTCTCATTACAAAACGAGAACACATTGTTACTAGACTACAGATTATTTCTCTTTATATATTTATACACCTACTTCCTAGCTAACTTCTTCACAAGAAAGTAGGCATATAATTATTTCAGAATGGGGAAAGGAGTGTTTGGGGAAAAAAATGTTTCCTATTAGAAGTTGCAAAAAGCTTGCATCTTTCTGGAGATCTGCATCCAACAAAACAATCGGGATTCATTATTTTATCGGCAATAGAAGCAAATCCCAAAAGAAGAATCAACTAGTACACTTGGCTTGTGTGGCCAATGGAGCAGAGACCCAGAGGTACACAATTAAGTGCAGACTCCAAATCAGAGGTCAGGGCTTCAAATCATTGCCTATTTTTCATGAAACACAAACTGGGCTGTGATGAACACAAGCTCCAAAGATCTGAAGTACACTGATGATATGTTGATACTTTCTGCTAACAAAACACACATTCTGGGCCTACAAGAGCCCGTAAGGGTCTGCAGTAGTACCTGCACAAGCTGTTCCGTGTGCTGGTGAAGCTCCTCAAGGATAGGGAGAGTCTGGTCAGGGAGACAGTGCTCTAGGATCCTCTGAATCACCCTGCAGCCATAAGGGTGAGTAGACAAAGCAAATACCTGGAGCAGAAAGATCCAAGACAGTATTGTTACTTTATTACCCCACTCCTCTGCTTCATAGAAAAGTTTAAGCCACTATGAGCTAATAAACCATTTCCTGGGTTGTTTTAAGAATTCATATATGTGTATAAATTAGCTAAAATGAACTCTTCCAAGAAGTCTAAAAATGAATCAGAAAAGGAGTCAAGGTACTAAAAAATCCACTTAGTCAAGAATCAAGAGCAACACCAGGCAGTGGTGGCATACATCATTAATCCCAGCTCTCCGAAGGTAGAGGTAGGCAGATTTCTAAAGTCAAGGTTAGCCTGGTCTACAAATTGAGTTCCAGGACAGCCAGAGCTACACAGAGAAATCTTGTCATGAAAAATTAAAAATGAATCAAGAATGTCAATCAACAGCCGGGCGGTGGTGGCGCACGCCTTTAATCCCAGCACTCGGGAGGCAGAGGCAGGCGGATCTCTGTGAGTTCGAGACCAGCCTGGTCTACAGAGCTAGTTCCAGGACAGGCTCCACAGCCACAGAGAAACCCTGTCTCGAAAAACCAAAAAAAAAAAAAAAAAAAAAAAAAAAAAAAAAAAAAAAAAAAAAGAATGTCAATCAACTGCCTTTCCAAAACATAGGATGAAAAACAGGAGGAAGAGAAAGTGTGCCAGTACCTTTAATCCCAGCACTCTAGAGGCAGAGACAGGGATCTACTTCAGGGAAGACAGAGGTACACAGCTAAGACGCTGCCTCAAAAACAGGAAAAAAAAAAAAACACCACACACACAAAACAATAAGCTACAGAGAGGTCATTGATAAAGTGCTCATCTGAACCTATAAGGACAAAGGCTGACAACATTCAGCACAGGGAGACACAACACAAAGAGCAGAGAACATATATGAATGCTTTCATACAAACACACAGCTACACACAAGGCTGGCTGAGGCACTGTTAGGTTTAAGAGGAATAAAAAAAATTGTCCCACCACTGAGCTGCTTCCTCAGCCCACACACCCAATCTTGATTCTGGCCTTTCCTAGATGTAAGGAAATATACTCCCGTGGTAGTGAATGCCTTTAATCCTAGCAGTCAGAAAAGCAAGACAGGAGGACTATGAGGTTCAGGAGTCTACCTCAAATCACCAAGGGAAAAAAAAAGACTCTGAAGAAAAATAATACATCTCACATGAGGTGAGTGCTATGGACCTCAAGTATCAATTAGTAGACCAAGTGTTTGTCCTCTCATTTGCTATAGGGCCCTAAGGTTGCACCTGCTACTTAAGGTGAGCTTTGAAAAGACACTGTGCCTGTTCATGGTCTAAAGCAGTTTATTTCACTCACTGCGTTTCCAAAACCACTTCTAAGCATCCACTGCATGTCTAGAACGTTTTCCAGGCATGCTGCTGGCAAAGCATGGCACTTCTAAACCTAAACTTTGGTCCAGACATCTGCATTGCTTGCTTGTTTGCTTAATTATTTATTTTATGTGCATTGGTGTTTTGTCTGTTTATATCTGTGAGGGTGTTAGACAGACAGTTGTGAGCTGCCATGTGGGTGCTGGGGATTGAACCCAGGTCCTCTGGAAGAGCAGTCAGTGTTCTTAATGCTGAACAGTCTCTCCAGTCCCCTTTTTAAAAATTTTTTATTTTACAGCCGGGAGGTGATGGCACACGCCTTCAATTCCAGCACTTAGGAGGCAAAGGCAGGTGAATCCCTGTGAGTTCGAAGCCAGCCTGGTCTACAAGAACTAGTTTCAGGACAGCTAGGACTGTTACACAGGGAAACCCTGTCTCGGGAAAAGGAGAAAAAAACAAACAAACAAACAAAAAAACCTATTTTTTATTTCTTACTTCTGTGTGGAAACTGTTCAGCAGTTTTAAAACATGCTAAGTGGATATTTCACCAGATACAAATGTTAGCTAGACCAAAGTACTGGATCAAAGAAATATAAATTCTGAAATCTAAGAAGATACTGGTTAGTTACCCAAGTGGCTGATTCACATTCCTGAAGCACAAATCTGCACTGCATGGTAGGAACTCTCTGTTTCTGAGCCTCATTTTGTACTTTCTTCCTAACTAATGGAATAGACTTATTCTTATCAACTGCTAATCTGTGCTTCCGTGAAGTATTAATTCATCTTTGGCTCATCTGCCACCACCTCTATCGTTTCCTTCGATTGTAGGAGTTCTTTAATCTAGCTGCCAACACTTTGACAGGTTCAACAAGATAGCATTCAACTCCTGGACTGGAGACAGAACTCAATGGTAGAGTGCTTGGCTATCCCATTAGCTCCTCATCACTCCCTCAAAAAAGCAGGACAATCATTTTTTTCCTTTGTTTTAATTTTGCTGTACATTTTACTTAATGTCTTTTTAAAGTTTTTGTTATGTGTGTGTGCCCCACCAAAGCCAAAAAGAGGAGTCTGATCCCCTGGAACTAGTTACAAATAAATATAGTAATGAGTAGTGATGGATACAGGTCCCCTGCAAAAGCAATAAGTGCTCTTACCCACTGAACCACCTCTCCAGCTCGAATAATATAGCGTCTCAGTGAATGAATGTGCCACCCTCTGCTCTACTAATCCTGAAACTCCCAATAACCCCTAAGTTCTGACTCTTCTCAACGATGTGGGAATCCCCATTCTGAAAGAATTCTAAATCATGCTTCCACTTAAACTGAACAGTACTTCAGATTCATATGCCCAAAAGAATCCAGAGTCCAGAGTCCAGATTCAGATACCTAAAAAGGAATTTTGTTTTACCACTCTGTCCCAGTAACTTCCCCAAGGTGGGAAGGTATTATTTTTGGCAAACAAACTAACAATTATCCTAATTTAGAGGCACTCAGAAAAGTGATAGCATGAGAAAGTGACAGATTGACAGGCAGCGATGATGCACGCCTTTACACCAGCCCTCAGGAGGCAAAAGCAGGCAGATCTCGGTGAGTTTGAGGCTGGCCAGGTCTACAGAACTAGTTTCAGAATAATCAGGGATACACAAAGGAACCCTGCCGGGAGGGGTGTAAAGTAAAGGTCTTGTATGATGATAGACTGATGATGACAGATAGGAATAATAGCTATCCATGTAAAAATAATCCTCCGAATATTAAATTCATCTTAACAGGTCTGCTGCTAGCTATGTACTCCATGACAGACTCCCCGAGAGTGAAGGGAAGAGACCTGTTAACAGGGCCAAGTTGACACCACTGAAATTGACTACAGAGTGCACTATGTATGAGATGGACGCTGATGACATGAACCCAAGTTACTTACCTGCCCTTTGAATGCATCAATGATAAACTGTAAAGACTGGGGCTGTACACATTCAATGCACTTCTGAACCACATGGTTGCCATTCTGGTCTTTCACACACTTCAGGACATGGCCATCTAGCTCCCGTACCATCTCATTCTATGGAAGACAAAGAGAAAAGACAATACCAGAATCATAGCCAGCAACACCCAGACAATCCCCACACCCTACCAAGCAGCAAAGCACTGCACAGATACATGGCAATCAAAGTAAATTAAGTCAACTATAGTCATGCAACAACAAAGCAAGAGAAAACAAGTGGAACCAAAAAGATATCAAACTTGGAAAAGGCTTGCTGAGACTCTAAAAACATTGACACCAGCCAGATGTAGTGTGGAGCACACCTGTAACTCCAAGTCTCAGGAAGTAAGACAGAACTGGAGCTGCCACACAACATATGCCACACATATCCTATGCTACCTATAAGTCCTATTGTAAAAATGTGTTTAGTGATACACCTTGTGATCGAAACACTAGGGAGAGGGAAGCAGGAGGACCATGAGTCCAAGGTCTGCCTTATCTACAGAGTAAGTTCAAGGCTGACCTGGGCTATGTGCGAGAATAAAAAACTACCATCATCTTCAAATAGAAAAACACCTATACGAAATGCACAGGATTGATAATATACGATTCATCACACTGTCATATTGTCATATCCTGACAATCATGTAAGCTTCATACACACACACACACACACACACACACACACACACACACGAATATGAAGGGTTGATCTAGAATTTGCCCAGGTGAGAAATAACTGCAAGAACTGGGAGTACTTTAGTTCCACCCAACAGATCATGTTAGGCAGCCACGGAGCAGACGAATTACAAAGCCTGTTCAAAAAGACCTAGACTGTGAAGCCTCAAACCCAAGCAATTGCCAGCAATGATGCAGCCAGGATTCGCTGGGAAACAACCTGTCAATTATATAATCCCATGCTGCCCTCCCAGCAACAAAAGAAGTTACAGGCGAAGTCACATAATTAAAATTATAGGAAAGTCAATGATGGTTCGACCCTGTAATTATAACACTTAAGAGGCTGAGGCAGGAGGATTGCCTCAAATTTGAGGCCAGCCTGGTCTAGAGAGTAAAAAAAATCCCAAAACACCAAAAACTAAATCTATAGAGACAGAGGAAGTGGCGGCGGTGGTGAATTCCTAGAGATGACTGTTGGAGAACGAAGAGGTTCTCGGTTAGCCTAGGCACGGGGAGCACATGTCTCCAAGAGTGCCCCCGCCAGCTTCCTTTAGTAGCATCAAAGAACAGAGGGAAACACAAAGGGCCACAGAATACAATTTCAAAGCAGTCACTCTGTGACTACCAGTGTCTGTGATTTTTCCACCAAGGCGCATTGATTAAAGTCAGCAGAAATGGTTTTTCCCAGTTCATTAATTGTGTCCAAATAGCAAATACAGACTGTAAGTAGACAAAGTGCAAAAGCAGTGTGTCAGGGTATGTACTGCAACCAGATTAGATTTTGACTGAGACTCCCAGCCTCAGAACACCTAAAGTGAAATGCTGAACCTGGCTGGGCAGGAGTTGGCTCCCCATTTTCCTACTGATTTCATCTGGGCTTTAACTTCTCTGTGCTCCTCTGTATTTGTGCTAGAACACCACAGGCAACTTTACCTAGGCACCTTTCATGAACAGTGTGAGTGAATCCCAGATGGAACCGACTCCAGAGTAACTGAAATATCAGCTAACAGAAGACATCATGATCACAAAAGAACACTTACTAACATAGCACGAGAGAATAACCATCTGCCTGGGAGACATAAAAAGGATAAAATTCATCTCCTAAAACAAAATATACAGTCCACAGCAGAACAGTCCAAACTCAGAACAAGGCACCAGAGGAACTGGACCAGAGAAAAGAAAATATAAGAAAGAGCTCCCTGCCTGGTTGCACAAACCCATGACTCAGTTGCTCAGGAAGCCACCTTAGGCAGGAGACTTCTAAGGCCAGTGGCAGGACACACACCCAACCTGTAAAAAGCCCTGGTTTTAACCCCCAGTGTTGCCGTAAAAGTAAAAGAGGAAGAGCTGGGGAGACGGACAGAGAGGGTGGGAAGAGCAATAGAGCCTGGAAAAAGACAACTTGCTAGTGAGGAAGGGAAGGAGAGAAGTATAGAAAGGGTCAGAGCAGCTATTTTCTTTTAGTAAGTAGCCATCATGATCCAAGAGAAAAAAACTTCCATGTGGGGAAAACAGCAACAACAACAACAACAACAACAACAAGAAGCCACAATAATGTGGTCATTAAAATTTATAACATCTCAGTGAATAATAGATAACAACGAAAACTAGCCTTGGATCTTTCTGTCAATACAAATATCACCTTTCTTAGAGACTGGGGGCAGGGTCTTCCTAACTAGCCTTCTATGATTGGCTTCAAACTTGGGGTTCTGTTTCCCAAAGTGTTGGGATCACTATGTACCGCTATACTCAGCTAGACAGTGTTGTCTTTTCAATGCTCCAAGTCAGGCACAGAGCCATGTCTCTAACCTCACCCACTTCACAGTATCTTCAAGAGCCTAGCTATAAGACGCAACAAACTGCAAGATGCACCCCACGTGCCCTGGGCTCCACCAACCTTCAACTGCCACCATCTGCACCACTGGCTGGTAGTTCAATGGGTTTGAATCAGAGCTGGTGGGATTCTGCCTGGCTCAGAACGAGTCCATAATAAAGATTCTCATTATCGGACTTTGTCCTCAGTGAGGGCAAGTGGGTCATCATTGCCAGACAACAGCAACCCCTCCGCTGAGAAGGCTGGGGGAGCTCAGAGCACAGAGGCTGAGGGGTGCAGGCCAGAGGCCTTGGCACCACCTGGCACAAGCAGTTGCAATGTGCTTTCCCTACCTGTAGGGCTTTTGGATGACTCCCCTATCAACCCCCACTCACAGCAGCTAGTTTTTTGGGCCTCTGTTCCCTTTCTCCTGTCTAACTATCCCTAGCCTTGATTCTGCATGGGTTGGGTGAGGGCCTCCTCCATGGGCAGCACCATTTTCCACTGTCCTGTCCACACTGTGGGTCAGCAGCAAGGACCAGCTAGGCCTTTGTCATCACCATGTCACCCATTGACACAGCAGGCCCGAGCATGTGATCAGTGAACAAGAGGGTGGTGAAGGAGATTGCAAGTGAGCTGAACCTCACTTCAGGTTTCTTGGAAAGTTTAGTGCTACTTGAGGAGAATGCTAAGCAGCATTTTATGTGTTTACATCCTCCTTGTAAAACTGCAGTTACTCAGGCTACTCACTGGTCAAAGAGATGATGCTGTAAACTCTTTCACACAAAACACCAGATCCACTAGAAACTTGCAAACTGGGCAAATCCTGCTTGCTCTGCAGATGGAAAGCCACAAGCACCCACATAACCTAGCAAAGATACTCCACACTGACATTCTCCACAGTGCACTGCACGCAGCACAGAGAAACACCGAGAGAAAACTGAAAAGGAAACTTACAATTACCTGCTGGTCTGAGGGAATAAACTCCAAGGCTTTCTGGATAACTCGGCAGCCATACATCTGCAGCGCCAATGATAAGACGTGGCCTCGAATGCGCTCAGCCAAAGCTAGCTTCTGTTCATGACTGCCAAACTAGACATAATGTGAGAGACACCATTACATAAATGAAGAAGAAAGACCAGAGAAAACAAAAGTTTTCTGTAACCTGTGTTGTGTCCAGCCTCAACTTCTTGCTGCCCTGTTTCCTAGGGTTAACAACACCTTTTAAAAAGCCATTGTTCCCTAAAGCTTTGACCTGAGGAACTTTCTTTAATGCTCAGCCATGTCTTGGCCATCTTGCAAAAAATATTTAATGCCCTAAAGAATTAGGCATTAACTTCTAAATGGAAGGAGCCATATCCTGTTATTCCAAAACCAGCAGCAGAGATGGGACTGGCTTCAAGGCTCAACATGCCTAGAAATGATGTGCTAACTTGTGCTGTATAGGGCAGCCGGTGGACAAGGAAAGGTCGGGCTGGCAAGCCCTTTCACCTAAGTTAGTCTGCCAAGTGCAAGTCAAGTACACACAACATTCTTATGAATTGATGTCTTTCCAGGACTATTGCTATTAAACAGGAAGCCTTTGAAAGGAGAAGCTAAGAAATCCAAAAGGTTACACTATACAGTGTTTTCCTAAGGGCTGGTTTGCATCCTCTTTGCTCTTGTGTGATTAGAACCATCATGGGACTGTCTAGTGAGACTCTTTGGCTTGTTCCCAATCACATGGTCACATGTCACATTTGTTCTGACACTCCAAGCTGCACATGGTACAGCACTTTAGTATCAGTGACAAAATAGCAGAGCAGAGACCATCCAGAATCAAGAGACACAAGCTGGAGAACTAAGTGTCTGTGAGGAAAGTTGGCAGGTAAAGTCTAAGAAAGCAACTCTAAAACCATTTCACAAATAAGAGCCAGAAGCAATTTGTAGATTTCTTTATTTGCAGATAACCTTAGAATTCCACTGTCCCCACACCTGGTTCTTTCAATTTATTGGGACATCCAACAGCTTGAAGCTGCTGGCAATGGTAAACATTGTTAATAAATATAAATAATAAATGACAACAATATTAACAACATAAAAATAGAAAAGAAAAATAAATCCCAAGTCTTTGAAATGTTAAGTTATTAGAGAAAGCAGACATTCTTCATCACTAATGTACTTCCATGACCCAAGTTAATGGACAAAAGAAGAAGCTAAGACCAAAAGAAGCCCCCCAGAGACACAACTCCAGGCCGCAATGGAATCACTGAGCCTGGTGTACAAAGCCAAGTCCTCACTCCCACCATGTCTTATTGTAATTCTGCTAAAGCCTCTGAACCACTGTGCTGGAGGCGGGAGAGGCAGTGCTCAGTGGTTAGAACAAGCATCACTCTGTGTTTCAGAGGACCCGAGTCTGAGTCCCAGCACCCACCAAGCAGTTTACAATGGACTGACTCCAGTTTCAAAGATTCCAATGTCTCAGGCCTCCTTAGGCACACTTTCCCCCCATAAATAAACATGATTTAAAAAAAAAAAAACAAACAAGCAAACAAAAAACAAAAAAAAAAAAACAATCTCTTTAGGCCAGGCATGGTGGTGCGTGCCTTTAACTCCAGCACTTGGAAGGCAGGAGCAGAGGCAGGTGGATCTCTGTGAGTTCAAGCCCAGACTGGGCCCCACGTGGAGACAACTATTAAACCATACCTCCAGAGCACATCTGGATGGGCATTTAACATGGATAAAGAACTGGAGAAAAACGAAAAATCTTTTCAAGACCCTATCACTTCATTTTAAAGGCTGAAATGAACAGCTGTGCTTCAAAAAGTCAACAGAAATCAAATGCTCTGGAGATTCTCAAAGTGAAAGGGCAGAAAGAACAAAGACATACTTCAAAGAACTTCTGAATGACGTAATTTCCAAACACATCCACCATAAGTTGGTACGCAGCCTGGAGGATTTCATTGAAGACAAGCTGGCGCTCAGCTGCTGTGGCACGCTCTAGTTTCAGCTGAATGAATCTGAAGAACAGAGTGAAGGGGCAATCAAACCACACACAGAGATGATTTGCAAAGGTGTGAAGGGCATCACTTGTTAGATCAACTCTACAACATGCGGCCCATGTGCCCAATAAGTGCAGTGAGTTTTGTTTGTTTGGATAGGGTTTCACAATGAAGACTTGGCTGGCCTAGAAAACAGAGAGATCCGCCTGCCTCTGCTTCCTGAATGCTGAGATTAAAGAGATGCATCATCATGCCGGGCTGCTGGGCTATTTAAATCAATCTCAAGCTCTCAGAGAAAAGATTTCTGAAAGGGAATTCCCCTAACATGGTCCAACTTTCAAAAGTGTATTCCTGTTCTACTGTGCTGCACTACAGGATGGCACATATACGAAAGCACCAGCTCTGCTTAACATTGATCTTTAGAAAACAGTCCCTCATTGGATACTTAAGGCTCATGGTCCTCACTCTATACCTTCTATCTGCCAAGAGAGGCATTCTTTAGTGTCTGAAATAGTGTTACTCAGTTAACTCACTCGGGTGACCACATAGGAAAACTTTACTGCCTCTGTACCTGGCCTCCACTCCTCAGAGGAGGTAGCTAGCAAAAGCTACAGAGCAGGGAGACCATTAGGAATTTCCCTGAACACAGAGAGTAAGAAAAACCACAACAGATATGAGAAGGGTAAGGAGTGAGTGATATCATCTCATTTTGCTGGGTCCCTAAACCCCATGTGTACCTCTAGGGAGCTCTTAGAGCAAAGATTTCCCGGAGCTCTCCCTTCTAGAGCAGGGATGAGAGCAAGTGCTCCTAAGAACTGGGGAATCTACATTATCATGTGACAGTGTCTGTCTCCCCTAGAACAGATGTTACTGCAGGGCATGCACAGGGCTTCCTGGGAAGACAGTTTCTTCAAATATAGAGACGGGTACAACTTTTGGTGGTGGTGTATATAAAACAGGGTCTTGGGCTGGAGAGATACCTCAGTGGTTAATTGTACTGGCTGCTCTTCCAAAAGTCCTGAGTTCTATTCCCAGCAACTACATGGTGGCCCACAACTATCTGTAAGAAGATTTGGGCCCTCCTCTGGCGTGCAGACATACATGGCAAAATGTTGTATACATAATAAATAAATCTTTAAAAAAAAACAAAACAAAACAGGATCTTAGTGTAGACCAAGATGGCGGAACTTGTGGCAATCCTGAGTCTGCCTCTTGGGTACTGGAATTGTAGGTATGTACCACCATGCCCAGTGGCAAACAACAGTACTTTAAGAGATACTAGAAACACAGGCTACGCGCTCATAAATGTAAAGAGTTTGCTCAAAGTCCATCGTCCAGATAAATAAAAGTTCTTTTGAAATATTTGAAGGCTGTCCTATGCCCATATCCCTCTGAAATAAGAGACTAGGAGGTACATCAAAGGCATATTGTGAATCACAAAAGGTACTATGTTTTTATGATGAGATATATACCTATCTGAGAAATGGAATTTAAGGTACAAATCTCAGATATGCTATTACCAAAGCCAGGTCCTTACCTAGACCCATGCTGGTCTTGGGAAAATTCCATTATATGGCCAGCAATCTCCCGTAGTTGTAAATTAGGGTACCGATTATTTCGAAAATCTTCCAAAAGTCTGCTCCTGCCAGAGGGCATGACATCAGACATCCCATATCTCAGCCGAGAGGAAGAAAACAGAGTGCTGCTGGGGCTGAAGAGGCTGGAGGCACTGCTTGCACTGCGGTACTTGGCTTCGGCACCAGGAGCAGCAGAGATGTATCTTCCACTGCCATTTGTGAGTCCTCCTGTTGGTTACAGAACAGAAAAACCTGAGTCCATGTTTAGGGGAACCTCGTTTAAAAGGAAAAAGTACCCCCTCCTGTCCCCCTCACAAGCCTGTATGACCTCACTTCTTCCATGCCACTGTTTACAATCAGACAATTCTACTACTACTGTGACTTTCATAAGGCCCACTTACCAATCTGGAAGAAAACATTTGCATAAAGATTGAGAAAGAAGTATTTATTGGGGTTTTTGTTTGTTTGGTGGTTGTTTTGCTTTAACCACTGATAGCAAAATTGGTGCTGTAGTACTGGGGATACAGCTCAAAGATAGAGCACTTGCTAGCATACGTGAGGCCCTGTGTTCAATTCCCAGCACTACCTAAAAAGGAGAAAATGAAATCAAGTAAAAAGAATGGAGCAATACATTGTATGTCCTTAATAAGTAAAATGGGGCAGAGCACCTGCAGTAAGAACTCAGGAAATGCAAAGCACACTGAGGCTTCTGAGCTTGTCCACTCAGCACTACAGGAACTCACACCATTCCTAAATAACCTTCATTCCCAGCTCAAGTCCCCCCTTTAAGATCAGCACAAACACGAGTGGGGTAGTTCAGGGGTAGAGAAAGCACTTGCTTTTGCTGTAAGGAGAAGGAATTTATGTACAGGAAACTCTGGGAAGCTGTTCTTTGAAGAATCATTTGGAAAGCTTGTATCTAAGGCAGAGGGCTGGTTTTCAAGGTCCTCATCAGTGGGCAGCTGTTAACAACTTCCACAGGACAATGCCTGACACTATGCAACAATAAAGATTCTCCATGGCATTTGCACTGCTGCTCTGATTGGCAAATATGGTATAAATATGAGGCCCTAAACAGGTAAGACAGAACTATGATCAAAGGGCTTAACAAAAAGTAAAGCACTGCTGGAGTCTGGATCAGTGGTAGAGGTTATGCACGGGGGTAGCACTGGGCTCCAACTGACAACGTGCACACAAGCACAAAGTAGCATATAAGTTAACAGGAACACTTGCTTTTCAATCATTCTTACAGTTCACATGGTTTTCGTTGTGGTTTTGCAAAGGTATGGCTTCTCCATGTAACCCCAGCTGTTCTCAGTTTCAGGGAGCCACCTGCCTCTGCCTCCCAAGTGCTGGAATTAAAGGTGTGAACCACCAAACCCAGCTTGGTTCATGTCTTAATTTTTTTTTCCCCTGCCATTCAGTAGGCTGCCATCAGGGTCTTATGCATGCTAGCCAAAAGCTCTACCACTGAGGTGCCTCCCAGCACCAGGTTGTTTTCCTCCAATCACTATAAACAAAGTATTGAGAAACACCACATCAACCACAAAGATGGTGATGAGCAGCAACCCCATATCCAAGAGCAATGCCCCTGACCAGAACTACTTATTGCTACCTCCATATGCTTTGAACAGTACCTGTTATGGCATTTAATGGCAAGTACAGAAGAGACCTGACTTGTTCCAGGACCCAGCTTCCAAAGTCTAGGTCTCAGTCAAACAATGAAACCTAAAATAACAACGATTACTGCTCAAGTTCTACTGTGGATCACAGCTCCTGAGTATCTATCTATACTTAGTTCTTCTGTGGATGTTTCCCATGGTTCTCAACAATATATTTATCTAATATGAAACTTAAGTCTGAAAGAAAAAGCTGTCATCCAAAACTGCAATACATATAGTTCTAATAGCCAGAATGGAACACAAGACCCTTGGCCCTAAAGTCACAGCTGTGTGTGACTTATTTCAGACTCAGTTACATCAACTTTGATTATTCTTCAGAAAGCTGCTGCGGTCCTCACATTCCACAGCACTTCTGAATGCAAATGGATATATTAAATTAAAAAAAATTCTAATGATTGTTCTCTATTGCCGTAAGAAACCATTCTTCTCTGTTTGGGGAGAGGGGGATAAAGACATGGTCACAAGGTTGGTGGAACAGCAGGTATTGCAAATGTGGTGGTCACAATAAGCATGCCTAGGAAGGAACAGCACAAACGCACACAACTGTCAAAGCAATGTCAGGTACCCTGTCAGCGGGTCACTGACAAAGGCAGAAGGTATGCTGAAAGAAAGCCAGGTCCTTGATATTAAAAAAAGTCAAATAAAGCAACAAATAATCCTCAGCAATGCCCTCTCAATTTCCAGTTATGTACACTAATACATGCAATACTGTTGAAGAAATATTAGCTAGACTTTGTTACTATGGCCAAAAATATACTAATACACTATTCAAAAAGCTAGAGGGAATGACAGCTAACATGCCTCTAAATTATATATTTCTGTTCAGATTTAATAAGAAAAGAAGTATATACAAATATCTGAAAGGAAAAAAATGCTCTCGGGTAATTAATCTGGCAATTTAATGATGTATTCTGAATGAGCCAGGTATTTCTCCATACATTAAAGTAATACCTTAACTTTTGCTTAAAACTGAAGCTCCAAAAACAAAACAAAAAAATCTGCACTTCTCTGGTCCTGTTCTGGAAACACATCTAGCAAACAACAGATTTCAGTATTTATTGACCAAATCGCTCTTATACTAGGAATGTCAAAAACAAAACAAAGCGCACACGTGTCCAAGCCCTAATAGTTATTTCACCCCTAGGTACCTGTGTACAAATCACTGTAAGTAGTGCTTGCATCTGAGAGCCATTCTTGAAAAGGACAATTAACAGGACTCTTAAAAGCTAACTCTGACTTCCATTTCCAATAGTATCCAGACAGTGTCTAAAAGCAACATTCTAGAGAATTAAGTGTTTAGATGTTCTACTTTGTGTGTGCTTCCTGTTTAAAGGTTTTGTCTTCTGTCACCACCGGCTCACCCAACCACTACCCAATGACACATACACCCCACACCATACATTCCCCTCTATGCTGAGGACTGAACCTTGGGCATTAATACTAGGCAAGAACTCAACCAGTTCTTGCCTAGTATTAATGCCCTAAAATCGCCCTAAATTTGAGCACAATTCCATTCATAGCAGCATCTAAACCACACACTGCAAACTACACACTTTGCCGGGGGGGGGGGGGGGGGGGGGGGGGTGACGACACACCGTAAAAATATGGTGCTGGATGGGCTAAGGAGATGGCTCAGTGGTTAAGAGCACTGACTGCTCTTCCAGAGGATCGGGGTTCAATTCCCAGCAACCACATGACAGCTCACAACTATCTTTTCCAGAGGTTCTGCCTCCCTTACAAAGAAAGACACAGGGGGGAGGGGGAGGAGGAAATTTTTAATAAATAGGAGGAAATTTTTAATAAATAAGAAAAAGAAATGCATCTACTCAATGACCAATAAAAATGAGGCTTGGCGCCCTCTTGAAGTTTTTTTTTTTTTTTTAAAAAGACACGCTGGCAAAACATCAATGTACATGAAATAAAAAGTTAAATTAAATTATAAAAAGGTACTGGAACAACTAGACATCCACAGCCAAGATCAATGAACCCTTACCCCACAAGATGACAGCATTAACTCAAAATGAACACATTAAATTAGGAGTTAAAACAATAAAACGTTTGGATAAAATACTTGTTGCTCTCCCAAAGAACCACTCCATGGATCCAGTGATTGTGGGCTCTGAGGGTGCCTGCACTCACATGCACCTACACATAATATAAAATTATAAAAATGAATCTTTAAAAAAAAAATCAATAAAACTTTCAGATGATAGGAAACTGTATTCAAGGCCTAGAGTTAGGAAAGTATTTCTAGGATAACCAAAAATTCATTCAAGTAAACATTATCAAAATTAAAACGTGACACACTTTAAAGACACTGTTTCTAAAATGGGAGATGTAAAAGATGAGAACATAAAAACTTATAACTCAAGTAACTTTTTTTTTTTAAATAAACATTGGTGTTTGCCTGAATCTATGTCTGTGAAGGTACCAGATCCCCTGGAACTAGAGCTACAGGCAGTTGCAAGCTGCCATGTGGGTACTAAGAATTGAACCCGGGTAACTCTGGAAGAACAATCAGCTCTCTCAAACGCTAAGCCTCCTCTCCAGTTCCGTAAGCTAAAGGTTTGAATGAGTAAAACACACGAGGAGATTTCAAAGATAGCTAAAGATTAATAATAAGCACATAAAACAATGCTCTAAAGCCAGAACATATGAAATAAGCACTTGGGAGGCTGAAGCAGGAAGATTACAAACCTGGAGAGCTTGGACTACAGTAAGTCTTTGTCTTAACCTCCTCCCAAAAATGATCTAGGATAACAAGTCACTGGCAAAATGAAAATAAAATTACCATGAAATACTATTCCTTGCCCATGAAAAGAGCTATATCAAATCAAACCAAAAATGTAACTGAGGAAGTAGAGACATTGGAATCCTTGTAAACTTCTGGTGAGAAGTGAAACCATCAACCACACCAACCTACAGTTTCTCAGAAGAAAGTTGAATGCGACCCAGCACCTGAGAGGCAGAGGCAGGCAGATCTGTGAGATCCAGGCCAGCCAGAGCTACCGAGTAAGATCATATCTAAGCAGAAAGAAAAGGCTGATCATAAAGCTCACACACAATCTACTCCTAGAGAAACAGCACATCTACAGAAACTCTGGCATTGCAATATTCATAGCTGTATTATGTATAACAGCCTGAACAGGAACAAATACCTATGAAATGTGAGTAGCAGGACAAAAGGTCCACAAAAACGGAAAATGGTCTAATAAGAAGGAACTATCTATTGGCCTATTTATATTTTAAATTTATAGACCAATTTAAAAAAGAGAAAATAAAATGCAAATTAAATTCATCATTGTTAATTGCATTTAAGATCAGGATTAAGTACAAACAGGTAAGAAAGGTTGTAAATATTATAAGTTTTACCCTGACATCCACTCAACTTACAGACAGAAAAATTTATTCTACAGAATACATGCTCAAAACAAATAGAAACAAATGGCTGCTGAGGGTTCTTAGGCACACAGAAATAAATACTAGGCAAGTCAACTGCTTTCTCAGAATGGTCTAATTCATAATGATGACTCCTGAGTCTAACTGTGAATGCAGACAGCCTGAAAAGAGAAAAGGTCACCCGCATGCAGCATTTTCAGATTCCGTATGAACACCTAGAGTCATTGCACTAAGTTCAGAAGTTGAAAAACTATAAACCACAGGATACAACCGTCACCTTAAAAAAAAAAAAAAACAAGCAGGGCGGTGGTGGTGCACAGGCCTTTAATCCCAGCACTCGGGAGGCAGAGACAGGTGGATCTCTGTGAGTTCGAGGCCAGCCTGGTCTACAAGAGCTAGTTCCAAGACAGGCTCCAGAGCTACAGAGAAACCCTGTCTCGGAAAACCAAAAAAAAAACAAAAAAAAAACTAGTTAATTAGAAGACAGCCAGGTAGGAGAAAGCTCAGCAGACAAGAGCACAGGCTGCTCTTCTGGAGACCTCAGGGTGGATTCCCAGCACCCACATAGTGATACAAAACTGTTTCTGCCTCCAGTTTCAGGGGATCTGACCTTCTCTTCTGGCCTCAATGGACATGAGAGACATAAGGGGTGCAGAAACACACATGCGGGTAAAACATCAACCAGTTTTTAAAAAATCTAAAAACTAAAAATAGTGACAAAACAAACTAGCAACAGCACCAACAACACACAACAAAACTTTATAGAATTAGTTTTAATGTGCTGGTTCAAAAGACATACTGGGAGGCTGGGGAGATGGCTCAGAGGTTAAGAACACTGATTGTTCTTTCATAGGTCCTGAGTTCAATTCCCAGCAACCACATGATGGCTCACAAACATTTGTAAAAATTTCGGGTGCCCTCTTGTGGCCTGCAGGCACACATGCAGACAGAACACTGTAAACAAAATAAATCTTTTTTTTTTTTTAAAAAAAAGACATACTGAGCACATTACATAACAAGAATATGCATTGAAAATGCATGGTTTAGAATTTAAAAAAAGAAAATCTGTTCAACTCTGAGACAAGCAAGGAACGGTACTCAAGCTCTGAGAAAGCTCCCCACATGTGGAATGACATACTGCTACCCTACTACTGTGTTCCCCAGGGGTAAAAATCAATGTTCAGTCCTCCATCTCTCAGCCTATACCCTCCCTCCTGATCATCCTACATTGGAGCCAGGCTTTCTGTTGCTACGAAACACTGCTGTGCCACAAGTCCTGTCCATTCTTCTGTCCATTGTAGACAGCCAATAAGAATACAACACATTCTGATACATATTCAGGTATGCACACGCGTGTACACACACACACACTGTGAAAAACGTGCCTTCAAACTCAAAGACACCATTCTTTGATAAGAATAACTATTTACTATAGATGTCATCAAAACTTTTCTTGTTTTGTATAAATGTCTCTCCAAATGAAATCATGCTATTCACTTTAACTCAGTCCTCACTGCCAAGTCCCTGAAACCACATTTAAACATGCTGGGCAAAGGTAGAATCTTCTAGTAAGCATATCCTTTATGATTTGTCCGGGACACTCTCATTTAAAGTCATCAACACAAAATAACAGCACGCTCTCACCTCGCCATTTGCTCATAAAATGCATTCTCCACTTCTCTCATTTAACTTTCCCCATCTGGGAAGTAAATCAGAACCTTGAAATCCACACCTGAGAAACGAAAGAGGAGTATGCCCTGTTTCTGAAAAGAAAGCTACACTCCTACCTGGTGCTACTATAATTTTCCCATTATTCTTAAAGCCTGCTGTTGGAAACCCAATGTCTCTTATAATAATCCCACACATAAAAGAATATTAATATATAACAGGTGAAAATATATACATCCAGGTATTAAGAGATGGTAGGCTTGGAGCACATTTATAAATACTTAAGAATCTGGCAAAAAATTCAATGAAATGCTTTATGTGAAAAAACAAGCTACTAACTTTTACACAAAGGGGAGGGAGGAATCTACAAAGAAAGTAAGCAACATGTTCAGTGTGGTGTCATTATGGGTGCTATGCTAGGGACTATGCTTTTCTCTGTGTCCTTCTGCTCGCTGGGATAAAGTTTACGGTGTTTGCCCAAGAGAAAAATGTTCACACTGAAGCTGGAGTGAATACACATAGTGTATCCAGATGCTAGGCAATCCCCAACTGCTGTGAAGCTACAGGTACAACCTGAGCAACATGAGGTATTTACCAAAGGCACAGAACACCAGGACCTTCTAGGATAAAGGGACCACAAAGTACTTGTATCCTTTGCTTATGCAAAGAAAGTACTTGTAATGTCATCAGTGGCAAGAGATTTCTAGCGTTCAAGGTGGTGTTAGAGTAATGGTTCTTACCCAGGTTTAAGCTTGAAGAGGATCCATGTGAAGAGAGGGAAGGAGGTGGTGTCTGTGAATGTCCTGGTCCCTGACTAGGGAGAGGCATGCCCACGGGTCCAGGAGAAGAGGAAAAGCTAAGGCCGTTATAAAAACTGTGTCCAATGGGGGTCAAGCTGCTCGATGTCCTCTTATAAAGGTCACTGCTGCCAGTCAGGGAGTCACGGCGGGAGCCACTGCCAGTGTTGGAGTTTGCAACTAAAATGGAATTAAAACAATGCAGATAAGAACAGGCCTGTTCTTTGAAGAACAAGCCCAGTGGCCTGTTCCTAACACTTTGATCCAGACTCCTTACCACCGCAAATGTGTCAGCAGAGACAGCCTAACTGTTAATGTAGCAGTTCTAGGGTAATAAATAAAGAGGACATGGCTTGGGCTAACAGAGCTATTATTCAAGCCGTTACACAAATATGCCAAATTTACCTTCCTTTAGTGTCACAGATATTATGGGATGGGGGCAGGTTAAAAAGCTTTGACGGCCACATGAGCTATGGGAGAAGTGAAAGGAAATGAACTAGAAGGAATGCCTTTCATCAGCTGAAAGGTTCTGGCAGAAAAACAAAATACGGAAAAAAGATGTGCAAGCAGGGCACAGCCCTACAACACAAGACTTTCTTATGCAGGCCTGTTGTCTTGGTGGGCTCCATCAGGAGCTGCGGCTAAGACTACAGCTCCAATTAGTACGCCTTCTCTCAGACATGCCCTTCTCTTCTGAAATCACACTGCTGATAAGGACTCCAAGTATCCCACTGTCCAGTCTACATTCTTGCACTTTTCTCCCATCAAAATAGAATGTTTTGGTCTAGCATCCTTCCTCCCAATGTTCCACAGCATCTCCCTTAACATTATTCAAAACACGGGATGAAACTCCCTAATGGTTTAAGGTAGTCAAGCCAAGCCCTGGGCACAATCCTGAATGTGAAGCACCCAGCCCTGTGACCTTCAGTGATTCCTTCTCTCTCAGCCCAACATCCATACTGCCCAAGTTCCCTCCACAAGCTTCCTAAAACCTAGAAGAACCTCTCTTTAGTTTCCAAAGCCTAAAAACATACTGACAAAGTGAGCATAAGTAAATAGCAACAGGAGCATGAAACTAAAAGAGGTCCCAGTTGCATAACTTAATGTCTATAGTCCAACATCTCAAAGGTCAAGTGGGCTGGCTAGACTCCCAGGGCCTTAATTGATCCAGACTACCTGTGGTATCTGTGCAGGGTGTCATGCACTGTCAGGGTTCCAGAAAGATTACAAAACTCATTCAAATTCATTTTAACAGCTTCTTAGTCTAAATTATACCTGCTGTTCCAAACCCTCCAAGGGCCGATCCCAGGGTGGCACCAAGAGAACTGCTGCTTCCGAATCCCAAGGACGTGTTGGCAGGCTGGGCAGAGCCCTGAGAGAAGAGGGAGCTGCTCTGGGAGTTGCTGCTCATAGAGTTGTTGCCATAGAAGGAGCTGGAAGCCAGGTTGTTGCTAGGCTGCTGAGGCTGGGGCTGGGGCTGCTGGGTGCCTAAAGGTCGAAATGGTCCGTTTGTGGTTCCAGCAAGACCACCGGCTGCTCCATTTGCAGAAGCTGCAGCTGCTGCAACAGCTGTGAGAAAGAAAGAAAACCATTAGGCAAAGAAAGACACTAGTCATATTCACAGACTGTGCTATATCTGTTTAAAAAAAAAAAGAATCTTTGACTGCTACATTATCAAGGCATAGACCTTGCAAAAAAAAAAAAAAAAAAAAAAAAACAACCACCACACTGTCTGTTATCTGAAGTACCAATCCCCATATCTAACCAGGTAACACAGAACCACCAACAGAATTAGAATCTACCAGATTGCCTTGCAGGTTCTGATTCTCTTTGAAATATTACAGGGTAAGAAAAACTATGCTAAGATTTTCAAAATAAAGCACATTACACCCTATCTGAAAGACTGCTGTTGTTTTAAGTCACCCGACCCCATTATTTCCCTCTCCAAAACAAAACTCACCTGCTTGTGCAGCTGAGGAGCTAATGATGACGGGAGCCGGAGCAACAAGCCTAACAGGAGCTCCAAGGCCATTTCTCGCCCCTGCATTCACCACGAGGGCACCAGTTTGGTCATAGTAAGCAGCAGGAGCCAAGACTGGATAACCTGGGGATAGAGAACAGTTTCAGTCTCCATTGCAAGTGTTTTAACCATCATGCAAAGTATTAGGTGGAAATTCCTGAAGCACACATTTATAAACATTAAACCACACAGCCATTCTAAGTGACATGACGAAATTTCAGAACACTCTATTTCTAGCCTCCTGTAAATGCTCTCTGCCCATCAGCCACAGCTGTCTTGGTTACCAGACTGTCTCAGCAGTATTGGTGCTGCAGTGCTTGAAGTCACACTGCTTAACAACAGCGGGAAGTACCTGAGTACTGACACTGAGGCTGCTGATGTGCGGGAATAAAATCTCCATATTCCAATTGCCAAAATCTATAACTCTAAGCTACTGTGGCTGTTTGGAAAAGAATAATCCCCATAGGCCTATATGTTTGAATACACAAGCAGTATTTAAACCAAAACTGAAGAATATCCCTTAAACAGGCAGCTAGCAAAGCAAAGCTCACACTCTAATCAGCCGACACTCACAGATCTCTCACATGGAAGGATAACAGTGACTAGCTCAGAACAAAGCTCTCGTCAATGACCCAGAGGTCTAAGTGAGGGCAAGTATGTATCATCCCTGCCAGTCCCCAATCATAACAGGTTCAGACAAGTCAAAAGCAATACCCATTCTCCTTGAAAACACACATACACTTTTTTGACCCAGCAAAGTATTAAAAACATCAGTACAACCTTACCTGGCATACCTGCAGCCAGACCTTGTCCAAAGGCAAGAGCAGAATTCACTGCTGCAGCTGCTACAAGGGGATCTGTTTGCTGTCCCTGCTGGTTCTGATTTGGGGTTAAAGGACGCTGGCTAGCCCCTCCACGAAGAACCTAGGAACAAGAGGAAGAAATGCTGTCTCACAGGAAGTTTATAGGGGACAGCTTTTTAAAAACACAGCAATAGAAAAGCAACTAATACACCTTAAAACTTATTAAAGCCAGATATGTAGTTAAAAAAAAAAGATTATAGCCATTAACTAAAAATTAAAGAGAAGGGCTGGAAGGATGGCTCAGCAATGAGATGATATCGCTCTTGCAGAGTTCTGTTCCTAGTATCTACATGGGAGGCTCACAACCACCACATCCCAACTCTAGTTCCACGGAATCTGATGCACTTTTCTGACCTCACTGATACCGGTCACACATATAAGTTAACGTAGATATAATAGGTTTAAGATTTAATCTACTAGCTTAAGTTTAGTTTTAAAAACACAACTTTAATTTGGCTGGCAATCCATTAGCAAAACCCTTCAATGCCCTGTAAATGGTATTCAGCCTAAAGCGTCACTGTGTACCTGCTAGGTAGGTAACTATATATCCCTCTAGCAACTCTTTCTTTAAAAAAATAAATAAATAATTTTTATGTACATTGGTGTTTTGTCTACATGTATGTTTGTATGAGGGTGTCAGAACTTGGAGTTATAGACAGTTGTTAGATGTTATGTGTGTGCTGGGAATTGAATCTGGGTCCTCTGCAAAAGCAGTCAGTGCACTTAACTACTATGCCATCTCTCCAGCCACTCTAAGCAACTCTTATAGCATACACCTAAAAATCCCAGCATTCAGTAAGGTAAAACTGAGTAGGTAATCATTCCAAGTTCAAAGTCAGCCAGGGCTACAAAATGAGTTCAGGGCCATCTTGGGCTACATAGACAGACTTTGACTTTAAAGAAAAAAAAAAGAAAAAGCAGAAGGCACACAGCACCAAAAGAGAAAACAAAACTAGTATCATTTTCTTAATTAAATTTAAAAGCACAGCTGACATTATAGCAGAGCATGGTGACGTGCGCCTTTAATCTTAGCACACAGGAAGCAAAGGCAGACAGATCTCTGAGTTCAGGAACAGCCTAGTCTACACAGGGATACATATATACACAGCAGGGGTATAAGTAGAACTCTATCTCAATTTAAAAAAAAAAAGAATAAAAAAGAAAAGGAGAGAGCGGGAGAGAGAGGGAGGAAAGGAGGGAAGGAGGCATTTTTGAATGAATAGTCGCTAAAGTTTTTGCTGTCTGAGCACGTGAACTAGAACACAATCATCAACAGAGAGTACCAATGATAGAGAACGAGAGACAGGAAGATCCCCGTGATCAATGGCTGGACAGTCCAACCTTAATTGGTTAAGTACCAGGTCTGGATGGCAGATGCTTGTCTCAACAACAAAAGAGGATGGCTCTTGACACTAGAAGATAACCTCTGGCCTATATAACCCCCAACAACAATATGAACAGCTAAATAAGCACTGGAGCAAGTATGTGGGTGTGCACACACAGGCACACAGCATTTTAAGATACAGAGAACCAGGCCCAGCAGTGGTGGCGCATGCCTTTAATCCCAGTGCTAGGGAGACAGAGGCAGGAGGATCTCTGTGAGTTTGAGGACAGCCTGGTCTACAAGAGTTAGTTCTAGGAGAGTCTCCAAAGCTACAGAGAAACCCTGTCTCAAGACAGAAAGAAAAAAAAAAAGAGAGATGACGAGTATCATCACTGGTAAGTCACAGACACACTCACACACACACACACACCATAAACATACAAGGCACTCAGTGTTTTATGGACAGGATCAGCATCACCTATGAATGGCTTGCACACAGGCACTCATAAGACTGTGATTAAGAGGGACATTGCCTCTTAATGAGTAGCACACACCATGAATTGCCCTCACAGGAGTGGCTGGTGTTGCCTTTACCTGTTGCTGTCCTTGCTGGGCCTGTGGAGCGCTCTGTTGAGTAGCAGAATTTGTTGCTGCTGCAGCTGCAGCAGCTTGCTGCTGGAAAAGACTGGCAGGGTAGACGCCCCATGGAGTGACTCCATAATATTGGTGAGGGACCACAGCTGGGCCTAAAAATAACCAGAGAAAGGAAAGAGAAGTTTAGAAAGAATGACCTTAGGATTATTCAGATCTTGAAAGAGGAAATCCAAAAAATATTAATTTAAGGAAAACAAAGATTTGTGCTAGCTAATAATTATGACCAAGGGGGAAGGAACAGATGGACTGTGACTGTATTTGGTCCTCCTGGCAGGGTCTTCTGAAGGCAGGAATGCACTACAGCCTGACAATGTAAGGGGGTAAGGTGGTGAAGTTACTGAAAGGAGAGGCTGGGAGGAGAACTGAAGGGATGGGGCTAAACAAAAGGAGAAACTGCCTGAAACAAAGTCTTGCTATGAAACCCGATCTGGCTTCAAACTAGAGATGCTCCTGTCTTAGCACCCCAAGCGCTGAGATTATAGGCATTAACCAGCATAGCCATCCAGAAGTTATGTTCACCCCATGAGAAGGAAAAGATGTGTGATGGACAATAGACAAAGTATACTGTTAAAAGAGAAAAAAATGGGAGATGGCATGACATATACAAAAAGAAAAATAAGAAAACCCAGCTGCACTTTAACTGCACAGGGCTACCACACCCATGTGGCACTAACTCCAGATGAAATCTATTTCCTTCTGATAACAGGACCTCCACCACACTTTTTCAAAAACGCTCTTTTTTTCCCCCCTCTATTTCCATGTTTAAAGTCCTAAGCTACTCAACACAAACACTGACACTGGTATTTCAACTTGTAAATTTCAATGACAGCGATTAAAAAAAAAATTGCATACTTTAACCTTAACTCATCACTGACCACAGCACTGTAACTAAGCACACTGATGACCTTCTTTGGTGATAGGTGACAACTCCAGTGAATGCACACAGAGCCAAACAGCAGATCTGAATGTAAAAGGGTGGCTCAGAGGGCAACTTTGATGTGGACAAAGCCCAGGCCAAAATTCTATGCAGGAAGCTGATGATGAAAACACAAAGGGTGTAATTTGCCATCAGACAGTGGGAGGTTTCAAAGGTGAATCTTGTGAGCAAATTTTACATAAATAAAAGAATGTACAGAAAGAAAAAAAAGAGAAAGTATCCAAAGACAGTTCCTCAATTCTGGTGAAATATACCTGCATCATTCACAGTCACAGCACAGGGCAAATATTACACTTGCGTTCCAAAGAGCTGTTTCTCATGGTATAGTAGTGCAGGGAGAGGAGCTGCTTCTCATTAAACAAAAACAAACTGTCACACGTTCTCCAGTTTCTAAGCACAAGCCAGTCTGACTGCACCACTGCCTAAAGGCTTAGCATGACCAAAAATGGCCACTGTGAAACTCTACAGCCAGCTGCAAAATGACAGTGTTGTTGAGGAAAACTATGTTACAATACAAACCATCTTCTTACAATAAGTAAGAGATAAAAATGATTTGTTGACTTATAAAAACCTAAGCAATTCAAAAGCTAAAGAAAACAACCACCTACAAACTCACCTCACCAGGGTCCAAATATTAGTAAGATAAAGAAAGACACAGCAGGGTGAGGAGAGAAAGGCACTTAAGGGAACTGTCCCAGTGCATGGTGTATGACCTAGAAGGACAGCACCCTAAAAATTTAACATTCAAATCCTTCATCTGGCACTTCCATTACTCTACTTTGGTCATGCGGCCAAAACTAAACACCCCAAAAGAACTTAGCTGAGACTGGCTTATCAGAATGCCTGCTTAAATTTCCATGTTAACAAAACACTTCCTTCCATTTAAAACCATTTACAGTCTCAAGCTCATATGCAAATTGTTAACCATCAATCTATCATTTCATAACTTCATGTTCATTATTCTGAAACTCATTCCGTGTTCAAGTTAACACACATTACGCAATAAAGGAAAGGTAACTGAAGATAGCACAGGTGTTTAATGTCATAGAATCAAACCTGGCTAAAACCTTGACCACACAGAATTAAATCATGACCCAACATAAGACTGTTTTCTTTCTGAATTCCAAACTTCTAAGCTGTAAAGTCACTACTGAACGACTCAGACATAAAATAAAATAAAAAGCACTAAGGGCAGTGCATGGCCAACAGGTGTGAAGCAAATGGTAATAGTAGCAAGACAAGATCACATTACCTGACAGAGCTTTCCACTCTCCCCAAAGGCAGAACAAGTAACAGCATTAAATAGGCTACCATTATAACCAGGGAAGCAACTCTAGAGATCAGTCTCAGAAATGACAAGCTGCTGTGACATCATCACTGAAAACTACACACCAGAGATAAATGAACCACAGACCACAGAGTTGATGAAATCTCACATTGATACTGTGTTGAAATGAGCATAACTTAGAGAGGGGTATATGTACCCCAAAGGCTTCAGAGGTTGTTGCTTTCATCATCATGTTAAACTGAAGTCACTTGAACATTTATGGGAAATTGAAGGAAGGGCAAGACCATCATGAATTCATCTACAAGTAATAAAAACCAAAGGTGTCAGTAAGAGATCATCCCATGCACAAACTGTAATGGATGTCTGGAGACAGAGGCCCAAGTTGGGAAAGTAAGGAAACTGAAATCCCATAGGGCTAGCTGTGGTGTGTGGTGTGAGCCAATATGACCACACAGGAGGAAGAGTGTGCATGGCTACAGTTGCTGGAGGGAGGACAATACATAAGGAGTCAACCTCAGCCAATCTTCAGAATTGTATTACTAGTCAGTCCAAGGAACAACCACCATCTCCTAAAGCTCTGATGATGAGCAGTATACAACAGTAACAGCAGCATGCAACAGTACAGATTAGGGAAAAGACAAATACAAGGCATTTGTGTATAAGATTTGTGTTTAAAGGCTATGCAATTTGGAGGAATGGAAGAAGAGAAAGCCGCAAAGCAAGAAGGTAAGGAAATAGTAAATTCCCTGTGGTACCAGCAGAAAACAGCTGAGCAAATATCCTGCAACATGAGCAAGCAATTGGATGGATCCAAGATAGTGGTCCAGGATAGGACCTTGTTTATCTAGGCAGAACGGGGAGAGTAATAGCTAAGCAGAGAAATCTGACTGGCAAGGGACTAGCGCTGAGATCAGGAAACATTTTTTGTTGTAGACATGTATTAGGCAGAGTAGAAAGAAGGCATGCCCTTTTCTAGCTGGTGAGTAAATCCCTCATGCAGCAGATGTCTCACCGAGTGTCGCTGCTGCAGCCAATCCAGCTGTGTAGGGGTCCGTCCCCGGGGGAGCAGCGCTGATGATGTATGGGTTGGGGACAAACGCAGCGGGAGCTAAACCTGCTGGAAACACACCTGTCAGTAAAAATAAATGACGACGAAACTACAGCCCTACTAGACATCTCTCGAATTCAGCTAGCATTCCAGGTTGGAGATGAAGGGAAGGAAAGGGAAGAGAGAATAGGCTGTACAGTAGAGAGGAATTTCACAAAGATATTATACCCTCAATATAAAAAGCCATTGTGGCATTTGTGTATGTGTCTGTGTATGAACATAGGGAAGACAGAGGAAGACAATGGGTTCCTTCCTCTATAACAAAGGTTCTCAACTTTTCAAACACTTTGACCCTTTTTAATACGGTTCTTCATATTGTGGTGACCCCAACAATAAAATTATTTCATTACTGCTTTATAAGTGTAATGTTGTTACTGTTATAATAATGTAAATATCTGATATGCACGGTATCTGATATTCAATCCCCCTTGTGAAAGGGTCATACTCATTCTCTCTCTTTCTCTCTCTCTCTCTCTCTCTCTCTCTCACACACACACACACACACACACACACACACACACACACACTTTTCTATGGCTTCCTACAGTATTTTTCAAGACGTTTTATGGCTGTACATGTTGTTTTGGCTACATAGACATGCCAGTAATCTTTCTGTTCCCCTTCCCCAAAGCTGGAATCTACTTTGTCTTTGTGAGTACTAGAGATTTGAACTCAGGTCTTCTTCCTTCCCAAAAATCAATATTACCCACTAAGCATCACCCCAGCCTATCTTTCTGAAATGGGGGTCTCATTCTGTAGGCCTTGAATTTACACTCCTCAATGCCTCAGTTTTCCAAGTGGTGGACTACCACGGCTAGTTTAGATTGTTTTGTGCACCCCTTCCCATCTTTATTAAAGTAATGTTGGTAACAGATCACTTATATATCATTTTTATTTTGACTCCATACTAAGATCAAACCCAACACCTCCTGAATGTCAAGTGACCCCTCTACATCCACAATACAAATGTCCATTACAGTTTGGAGCCAGCTAGATTGTTAGGCATTCATTTTATTGTTTTATTTGTGGTGCTGGGAATTAGATCTAAGGGTCATGTGGACACTGAATTCACTGTATATACACTAAATTCCTTCTTCAAATATTAAACTCATTAGTTTTTCAAGTTTACTGTTAAAATTGCTTCAAAACACTTATTGAGACGGACTTATTTCCATCAAAAACATTAATAAAGACTACAATTTACATGTGTATAGTGCCAGCCCACTCTCTGTCAACTAGGATGTGATTAAGTACTCTTTCTTCTTCCTTGCATACCACATCCAGGGTCTCCTTTCTGCTCATGTCTATGTACTTTTGAAGCAAGAATGAAAAAAATCTCCACTACCACTTATGAGCAGTCATGACATTTAGTCTGAAGAGTCTTAAGAAGGTTTGGGTAGTGGGAACTTGGGTAGGGGTAGTAGGAACTTGGATTGGTATGTATAGTAAAAAGGATAGTTTGTTTGTTTAAAAAAAAAAAAAGAAGAGAAGAGATTTAAAAAAAAGAGAAAGAGAAGAGAGGAAGGTCTGGGGGCATTGCCAGGCACAGCGGGCACATTTGTAGTATCAACACTCAGGAAGCTAAAGGAAGAGAACTGACTTGAGTCTGAAGCCAGCTGGGATTACACAGTAATTGTTTCTCAATAAACTAAAAATAGAGTTCCAATAATAGAAAGGTCATGGTGAAGATTGAAATATGTGCCAAACTCACCCCAGCAAAGGGAAGACAAGGCTTGGAAGGTGAATCTAAAAGCAATGAAAGCACTATTGCTACACAGTAAGTTGATACGCTATCTACACAAAACCCCAACTACCCCATCATGGGTGCTGAAATCAATTTATTTATTTATTTGGGAGGACAAGACGTTATTCTGTAGCCCTAGCTGGCTTGGAACTCACTGTAGAGTAAGCTAGCCTCCAACTCACAGAAATACTCCTGCCTGTGCCTCCTGAGCGCTGAGATAAATGTGTGCACCACCACACCTGGATCTGTTGCCTACATCTTACCAAAAGGTATCAGTAGTCATTTCTCTAGTAAAGTGTTTAAATCCTGATACATTTAAGGTACATAAAAAATGGATACCAAAGAAAACTTATGAGTTCAGGTCTAGCACATCTAAAATAAAATAAATATGGGCTAGAGACAAGTAGACACAAGAAAGAGGCCATTTACTCTGAATTTACTCCATACGCCATGGTCTTTTATTTTTTTCTGACAGTTTCACTGTATAATCCAAGCTGGCCTGGAATTCACACTATCCTTCAACCTCTCTCTGCCTCCAGGGTGATCAATTTAAAGGAACTCCCAGAATGCACCTCTCCTAGATAGCAAGAGAGCTCTGGAGCTTAAGGACTTACCGATGTGAGGCTGGTGGGCTGCTGCAAGTGCATACTGCTGCTGTTGAGCAGCTGTCAACTGCTGGACAGCAAGGGCATTGGGTCTTTGGAATAGCTGAAGCAAGAGAGAGATGTTGTATTAGAGAACTGTCCTATGAAATGATGTTTTAAATCTCTTAATTTCATTAGCCACTGTTACACATGACACTCCAGTCCCTGGAGGAATAATGCTTCAATCTGTCTTTCCTCTGTCACGATCTCAATTTGGTCTCCCCTCTTACAGACTGGATATATGTCTCATGAACCCAAACTACAGATAAACACATACATTAAATCCTTAATGGCTTCCAGCAAATATACAGCCCCAAATGACTAAAGTACACCTTAAAGTTGGGGAAGAATACTGAAAAGTGACTTCCACACCACCCTAAGGGTTACAGTCTACTCTCAGGACTTTTCAAACCCAATGAGCACTGAATTCTCACCTATGAGGACTGTGTACTTTATTCTCTGGGGAAGTGATTTTGCATACCTTCCTAAACTAGCAGCTTTTCCTAATGAATTAGAGAAATGCCTGGTTTCAGGAATTTCAAAGTCTCCTATATCTAGTTAAAAGAACAGAAGTACAAATTGTCACTGTGAACCAGAAAGATGGATCAGCAGATTCCTGACACCAAGCCCAACAACCTAAGTTTAAGCCCCAGAAGGGACAAACTGTCCTCTCTCTGGCCTCCCATTTGTGACATCTGCACTTGCACACAAAATCTTAAAGAAATAAAATTTAGAATGTGAGCTCATACCTGGCACACTTTTTAATTCAAGAAAGAAGTGTAAAAACCTTCCCAGTAAAATTATCCCATGAATGTAAATGTTAAAATAAAGTATTAACAGTCTTTTATGGAATCATTTATCCATTCATTTAACAAGTATTTACTATGTAAGGAACAGGGATATAGAAGCTGTGAGCAAAAAAAACTCTCTCCTTGCTTTTCCTAGACATAACAATTTATCATAAATAATGAAGAAAGAAGAAACTAGCAGCCTAACTTGTAAAGATCCTCAATAGGCTTCCTTCCAGAAATGTAAGCGGCTGAGCGATTGCTAAAGAGTCCTTTTCCTAGAATATAGCTTCCAATCACCTGTTCTTTCTTTGGGGCCCATCAACGGACCAGCTCATATCACTAGGTGAAAAATAACAGATAGTACAGACCTTAAACTATATGCATATTTATCAAGAGACATCAGAAGGTGCAATCTCCCAAACTCAACTAAATTACCACTGTAACTATTCTTACAATGTATAAAATAGAATCTTTAATTCTGTCTCAAACATGAACATAGGCTGACTGTAAAGAAGAAGATGAATGGCTGAAGAGATGGCTCAGCAAAAGCCCTGTCTCTTGCTCCAGGTTCAACTCCCAGAGCCCACATAGGACCAGGTACACAAAAATAAATGCAGGCAAACATTCATACACATAAAATATATCTAAAAAATTTTTAAATAAAAAGTTGCATGTGTTGAACACAGTGGTCAATTTAAACTGTAACTTACTCTCTATACATCAATCTTAATTAAAAACAAAAAATTTCATCTTGCCAATTTGTATAAAAAAGAAATATAATCCAGTGAAGATTTTTAAAGTACTCCAGCATTCCTTTTCAAAGAATTCACCATGATGCTGATAAAAAATGATAAAAATGAAAAGGCCTTGCCCTGTACACATCTAATCAAAGAGTGGGGCATTCAAAATACTTGTCCACTCTGAATGTATAGCTTGGAAGTTGCATCTGTGGGCTTTGCAAGTTTATCTGAAGAACAGTTTCTCTAGCAACTTGAGACAGTCCACACAAGAGGGGCAGCCAAGAGGCTAGGAACAAAGATTAGTGGTAGAACATTCACTTAGCATACATGAGGCCTTAGATTCAATCTCAAGAACCAATAATGATGATAATAATAATAACAATTTTAAAGACAAATAAGTAAAAAAAAAAATCAAGGGAAAAGCTGAGTAAAAACCTAAAACCTTTTGAAACAGTCACACTCTCAACAATTGCTTCTATTTGCTTTTTTTCCACCCCAGAGCCCTACTGTAAAAAAGTCCATCTCAGCAAAAAGTCCTACTGTTGGTGGGCTTCAATATAGGGTACAGCTAGGAGAGAAAGGCGGTACATATAGACTGTAACTGCTGAGGGTATTCTGACATGATCTGATCCCATTCCATCAGAGTTTCCTTGCTAAGTACTTCATGAGGTATTCTACATAACTCATTATTTGTAAACTGTAAATACATACATAGAAATGTGTGTGAATACCATCAATCATCCCATGTAACCTAAATCTGCAGTCCCCACATTCATGTGGTCACTTTTAAGGTAAGGATCATTTCTGGTATCAAAAAGCATATACAAGCCTTACAAGAGCCTCCATATAGCCTGTGGTAAAGACTGATTAATAATTAGTGAATATAAGAAAAATGGGAGATTTCCTTGAGAACATTTTGTAATAAACAATTTAACAAAAGCTAATTATGAATCTATCGCCATGAGATTTGATTATATAAATAGAATACAGCAACATTGGCACATTCTCTTTATGCAAATGGTGCAGTCAGTATTAACTAGAAATAGGGTACCCAAAACAAAATTAAAAAATTGGCAAGATCCTGAAAATCTCACACTAATGCCATCTGTGGGCAAGCCTGAGTTCTGCTACCACTGTCATGATTTCACAAAGGAGCCAATGACCAGCAACTGAGCTGCTAGGAGGTGCTTTTGGAAGGAAAGCACTGATGAGCATCTATGCAGATTACAACTCATTCACAGATAGCACAGGGGAAACCAAGCAACTAGTCAAAGTTGTGTAGTGCTTCACAATAAATACTGAAGGCACAATCTGGGTATCTGATGACAAACTGCTTTGACTTCCTTCTTTGTCCCTCACTACATGAGTTTACAGAAGACAGTGGTCCTATTCCAAAAGGAAATGGGCATCTCAAAACACACACTGAAGTATTACTACCATACAGTGGACATTTTATAAAAGATAGTTCCTGCTTGTATGTTAAGAGAGAGAGCCATTAGTATCGTTACTGTTACAATCATAGATGGCATAAAAAATGCTACTGTTGCCATACATGGCCTTAAA